GCCCTTCCCATGACTTTTCCCCTGTGGCCACCTCAGCAATAAAACATTCTGGGTGGAACTGGTCTCTCCCATCTACGTATCCCTGTTACGGTATTGACAAAATATTATTACAATCCCTAAATAACTATTACCGGGTTTCATTATACAATTTACTTGCTTGGAATTGCTTCAATATTACAATACCTCTGCCAATATACCAGCACTATGTAATAATCTTGTTTTGGGTTAAATCCCCAAGGGACAACAGCAGCCAGTTCTAAAACTAGTAAAGTACCTTAACAACCCACTTTTATCAAAACTGAGGTTAAAATCATCACTTCGGAAGTCTTCCTGACATTATTAATTAATATATGGACTTATGTAACCTTGGAGACATGTAAAATCAGTTCAAACATCACAAGAGAGTATTATTGGAGATTGCAAGTTAACTCTTAGGTCTCAGCACAAAATGAAGCTAACACGTTTTTGCAATATACGGCAAGCGAAGGGTTGACATGTAATGAAATCACGACAGGTGAAGTATATTGTAACAGACATGGAGCTGACATGAGCTATTGCGTGTCCTCCCGTACATGTTGGAAAATGTCGTCCCCACTTTAGCCTGTTACCAGAATATTGCACAGAAAATGGATTCTCAGATCTAGAGGCACTCAATTGCAACATTCCCCTAAACCTCAGCCAATCCTGTGGAATAAAAATTCCCATAGCATGCAAGATGACTTTACAAATCATTTTCGTTTGTCTCCCTAGTAGTCCCTACAGAGGTCCACTCATGAAATTCTTTCCAACATCTTACTTTATACAATCCAATGACTTCTGGTCCTCTGGCTATAAGAACTTCAGTATAATAATTATAAGTCCATAACAAATAGCATGGTCCAGCGGAGGACACATCTATTCCAAACCCACCCAAGGGAAATGGTACAAATATTCTCATATAATAAATGATGTCTAGCTACCTTGTATGGTCCTCCTTGCACACAACGATACACACTATAAGTGCAAAGCCAGATCGCAGCTCACCTCTCGGTCCTCAAATTCAATTACCAGTGCTCGTGTCCCGTAGGCGCGCGGCAAAATGAAAAGAACGGCCCGCCTAAATGCAGTTAATGGAGCCGTCCCATCCTTCATTAGAGGACGGCCATGGAAAAGGTCATCGACAAGGACAATGGCAGATTAAACTGCTGGGAATCACGTCGGGCTAAACGCGGCCGGCATCGAAACTCTTTAACTTAATGCATTCGGAGCAGATGAAAAGTGTGAAGGTCCCGTCTTATTTACATACCGGGGTCCAGGTCAGACGGCAGCCTGCCAGCCTAAGCCTCCACGGTCAATGTCAAACATTAGGTACGGAGCCGGGGACATTACAGCGGCGCTGTACTTAGGAAGATAATGCTAGCCGCTCCTGAAATCTATAACTCAACACTGCCATCTGATTGGATATTAGACAACGGTGTATGCTTGACTGACAGGACAAATTCGTACATCGATGCAGGCGTTTCTTCTAAATCTATGTCTGGAAAAGATAAAGAGGAAGGCATTAGAGGAGCAATCCCTTCATCAAGAATTCCTCACCTCTACAGGTGTATAATGTATGTACAGAATAGTCAGTAAGCCCTTATGTTTTCTTCTACGTGTGTGACCGATTTAATGCCTCAACATTTCGGCAAGTTCCTTTCTGTTCACTGAATATCTCGCTGCCATTTGCCACTAGATCAGAAACAGCCCCTTTTGTCTGTAGGAAAGCATACTTTATGCAACAGATTTAAACAGCGGGCATTTCAGCATTGATTTTCCTACAGTGGATCTCCGTTGAATGGGTAATAGCTTCCATAAACCTGAACATATGCCTTACAGATAGATCTGTGGAGAGAATAAGACAATTGCCTGCTTGGTTGCCGTATCGAAAAACTATCTATGCATCCCCACAATTCTCAAGTTATAGAGTTTCTGATGAACAACCGTGTAACCTAATTTTTCCATGGTGTGGCATTTTGTCAAATTTAGTTGACAGAGGCATAAGTTAGACACCTTGACAAATATGTTAATAACTAAATGTATAGATATGGAAAGACTTCTATAATTTTAGCTGCGTTTGAAAAAAAATAGAACTGTTTGTCATGAGCTACACCTATATTGCTTCAGTCCATAAACTCGAGTCATATAGATATTGATAATAAATCTTAAGTTATATGCAAATATTCCTTTCCCCTGATCAAGTATGTTATTGACACATTGCTATGTGATGGTGAAAGACACCTGTTGGTGTATCAGCATAATTATCAGTTATTATCAGTATAATTATCAGTACAATGCAAAGATATGATCTTTATCAAAATAATGGACACTTTATATTGTGAGGATCTTCCAATATCTTAACAAAGACAATATTAATGTACGTTTTTTATCACATTGGTAAGCGGGAAAAGAGATGAGTGTATTGGAAAGCTACTAAAAGAATCCGCTGCATTGTCTGGGCTTAGATATCACTATTGGCCCACCTGTTCCCTTCACCATACTAAACATTTCTGCCCATTGTGATTATAACCAAAGCAGACATATCACTTCTTGCCTACAAAGTCGATAATGGATATATTGACCGCTGGCCGACCTATAAGCGTGTATGAAATATGGCGATGATATGGAATGAAATAATGACCTTGAAGGCTGCTATGATAAATGAGACTATTGAATTTCTATGTAATCCTGCCACACAACACATCTGCTTAATAAAAAGAGGTCAGACGCCTTATCTGGTCCCCTGTTTGCCTTGTTGTTTGTTTATTCCCTCAGGCTATCTTAGTTAGTGACAAGGTCTGATAGGGCCTGATAAGCCCCTGGTACCAGCTAGTTCCAGTACTGGTACTGGTACATTTGTAGTTACTGTACTACTTCTTAAACTGCTAAGTCTCTGCCACATGGCCTTCCTCCAAATTGGTTCCCAAACTCCAGCCGACCAGGTTTGGATTATGTTGGGGAGCAGTCTGGCCAGATTTAGGCCACACCTACCTTGAATGGAAACAAATTTAAGTTAAACTTGAGTCAAATTTGACCCCGAACATGCCTCTAAGTCTAACACTGCTGACTTACTCCCGAATGGTTGGCAAATTTTTGGATGTGTGACGGGGGCTTTAGACAGACGTTCAAAATCATTCATTGTAGATATCAATGTCGTGGGTTTAATTAACTTTAAATATGTGTTGTTTTTTACCCACTTTTTCTTTTCCTGAAGATGTTGAATAGTATATATAGTAATCTAACATTTCAGTTGCTAATTATATACACACTAGTACTGTAGTAGTATCCATTGTCAACGCATCCCTTGTCAACGCATCAAAGCATTTGCCACTACTCCAACAATGAGTTTTCTTTACAAATTACTTGCTCAAAGTTGTTATCTAAAATTTTCAAGCCTGGGTGCCATCCTACAACATGTAGTATGATACACAAAAGAGCCAAGTATGGAAGCCTGACAGAAAACCAAGGCTAGTTATTCTCTACATTTTATAATATTTACTTCCTAAACCTTTAATTTTGGAATGACATCAACCAAGTATGTTTTTGATGCTCCGGGTGTATACCAGGAAAAAGTGCATGTTTATATTAGTGTTTCCTCAAAGATAACATGACCAGGGTTGGGGTACCAAAGAGTCACCATCACAAGATCAGGTTTTGACCTTTGATTTGGTGGGGATTTTTCATGACACATTTATGACTCACTGGGATCTTATCAAAATGTAGCAAGTACTAGCAACCACAACCACAACAACAATATCAGCATGTTTGTATTAATTGTAGCGACAGATCACCATATAGGGGTGTGTATGTGGGGGTGGAGTGGGAGGGTCTGCATGGGGGGATGTTATACTCAATCATCATTTCCTTTTTCCTGTTTAATGTTTTTAGGGGAAAGAGATAATATTGACAGATATGTACAGATAATTTACCAGTTGCTACAGACATGGTATAACTTTTTACAATTTGTTAAAAAGTGACAAACTGATCATACAATCTAACAATTTACATCTTGTTGAAGTTGTACCATAAATGATTCATCAACATTGAATCATACTCTTGTAAGAGATCCCAGGGGTGATATTTCTTCTGAAAAATGAATCTGGAAGATCTGCAACATTTACTCCCTTAAATAAGGGCTATCAATATTATAATGTCCTTGCACCTTCAAATTATTCACGGCCACGGTATCTTACAAATTATCCACAGAGAAGTTCCTCCAGTTGACCTATTGAAATACCTATTATCTGTCTATAAAATCAATCCTGATATATTCTTTTCCTTCAACAATCATTTTCACTATCTGTACAGTCATGTTAGTGTAAGTAACAGGGCTGGTATGTGTAGTACAGGTTACATCACTGGACTGGCACACGGGGCAGGCCCATATGCAAGGCTGGTCGCTTCCTCTTCAGTTCTGGAGCGCGCCATTTGAAACCCACAGGAATGCTATCAAATCAAGCAGATGTTGACGTGGAAGACCGTAACGTGTACTCTGACTACAGTCCTACCTGTGTGGATGGCGGGATGAGAAGCCCGGTAGCCAAAAAACGTAACGATCTTCCACCTCAACATCTGCTCAGAGTTTACCGGAATGCGACACTCGGAAACACGGCATGGGGAGGGGGGTGAGCCCGGCTCATAGATCAGCTGTGCACACCCGACTACTTTTTTTTTCAACGCCACGACAGCCACAAAACACTTATACAACACTCTGACGACGATCGCTTCTACTCTTACACATGTCGCTAGTTGTTTAGGGGAACAGGAAGGCCTGGATTGCGAGTTGGTAGCGCTGTGCCCTCAGGGGAGCATGCCCGAGCTAGCCCGCTCTCGCATCGCGATGTGTAATACCTGGTTTGACACTTCCTCCCTACACCTACTTTCGTCACAACCAACCCTCTCTCTCCGCCGTCTTTCGCTAAGATTTCTGACCTTACGGCGTTCTAAGGCATCTTGATATCCTTACACACACAATGAGGGATATGTCAGACTTACCATTCCGAGTCGGCGGCCAGACTGGAGCGGCGGGGAAGGAAGCAACAAGACGTTATTGTTGTCCGGACAAGCCAGATCTGCCGCTGATCGCAGGGAGTTCGATTCCATAAGGTCAGGGGTCAACTTCAGAAGGCGGAAGTGAGAGGGCGAAGAACGCAAAACGAAATAAAATTTCAAAAACATATAAACACAACATACCCGCGCTATTCATCCTATTTCTATGCTTTTTGCAACTTTGAATATAAACGTAGTAGGTCAGGAATTTGCTTTGACCGTTTGATATCCTGATTGCATTTTTATCGAACTGTTTAGAGGAACATTTCGTGGCCTTCAAAATCATATTATGTTTGACCTTTGACCGGACATAGGGTAGGTGTGCATGCTGTTTGTTGTTGTTGTCGTCTTGTGGCAGGGAAACAAGTGGAAATTCTAGACTGGAATGTTTTGAAGACAAATACTTCTGGCTGAACAGGTGTAATGTGGTGCAGGTTGGTAAGGATCTGCTAGGTGGAGTGCCTGAACATGTCTGGGCAGGTAAAACCATAATTTAAAACACAGTGAGTGTGGACTAGGGTTTAGTTTGGTACAATGTAAGTTGGTAAGATCATGTATCTAAGATCTTGTACACTCTGTCTGTATTCTTGTGTATCGTGCTGATTATTGGTATACAGTTAACACAAGATTGCATTCTGATTCAAGAATCTTATTCAAGCACAAGACTTGGCACATACATATAAAACTGAATTAATCCATACTATAGTATTGCTTGTTGAGGAATGCTGTGGGGGGGGGGGGCACATACAGGTACATGTAGGAATGAAGGAGTCACAGGTGCCCTAGAGGCAAGCAGGACCAAATGTTATACCTGGTAGAGTTCCAACAGGGCTTGTAATTCACTTTCATCTCTTGAGACATTTTTATCTCCACTGATTGCCTGGCTGTAGGTATTAACGTACCAGGTTTTAGCCTGGAGGCATCAACATACCAGGTTTTCAGTCATGCAATGGCAGCTGGTAGTATCATGATATCAAGGAGGTTCCCTTTTTAAAACCTCCTTGGTGATATTACACACACCAGTTCTACATACTGCCTTTTTAATAACTACCAAATGCCTTTTAGGACTATTCCTTTAATGTATAAATGCTGTCATTAACATATTCACATTGCCACCTGTTCCAGACAAACTGCTTGAGGATGGCAGATGTAGCTCCCAAGATGTCACCACTAAAATCCAAGAAACACAAACTATCTGAAGCTTCAGACTGTCCAGTCAAGGCCAAAGTGAAAACAAAAACACCTACTTTGCAAGATGCCACAACAAGTACATGTACTAGTCCATATTTTTCCAATGATACAACAAGTTCATGTAATGCTAGGCTGTTGTCTAGCTTCTATGATCAAAAGTGTTTGGACCTTGCGAAAGCGTTGTTGGGAAAAGTCATAGTCAGGAAACTTGACAATGATTCGGTGGTGTCCGGGATGATCGTGGAAACGGAGGCGTACTGTGGTAGGGATGACAAGGCCTCGCATTCTTTCGGGAACAAGAAAACGGAGAGGAACGCTGCAATGTTCATGAAACCCGGAACGGCGTATGTGTACATCATCTACGGCATGTACCACTGCTTCAACATATCCAGTCAAGGTGTGCAGGGGAAATATGCTGCAGATTAGTCATTCAACCATCAATACAAAACATGAAAATATCTTTTTTAAGCTCCTACTCACTGTGAAATAAATGTGACAGTTTAACATATTTTCTACGTAAACCACTAAAAATTGACATCAAGAAGCATGCACACATGATACTGTAAATTCATTTCCTTTTGCTGTCAAATTTACTTCACAGTGAGTAGGAGCTTAAAAAGGAGATTTTCATGCTTTGTATTCATCTATGAATGCTGAAGTACATTTTTGTACTAGACTAAGTGTAACTAACACCGTAAGGACTGTGAAAACGTATGGCAGGAGGCTGATTTTACTTGACTTACTTACTTAGTTTCTACTTCCTTGTTGGTATCAGTATGTTATCCTTGATTTCTTTGATGCCAGCTTGAATAATACACACACATGTATCTATAATGTACCTGATGTTTTGGGCCACAGGGGAAGGGGCAGCTGTCCTGATCCGTGCTGTCCAGCCGCTGACTGGTGTAGACAGGATGAAGGTACAGCGAGGACAGCGGAGAGGAGACAAGGGGGCAGACCTGAAGACAGAACAGCTGGGCAACGGTCCTTCCAAACTGTGTCAAGCTCTGCACATAGACAAGTATGGCTTTCCTGTATACTTTCCATGATAATTATCTTTGTGTATGACGATGGCCATTTAGCCTTTTATCTGCAGTTATTTTGATACAGTTGAGTCACAGGGAGTGAAGGGGGAATGATGTAACTGCAGACTGATAGGAAGGTCAAATTAGAGGTCAAAATGGTTACAAACATTGGGCACAAAAATGAATAAAATTTCACAGCAACTGTAAATACTTAATGGTGTAAAATCTTTGATTTCTTGTTGTGAACATTTCTCACATATACTCCATATTGTTTTATGCACTGCATAAAACAATATGGAGTATATGTGAGAATGCTTCCCGCAAGCTTCTCATCCAAGATGCTTCCTTTCTCATTCACTCACTCATTTCATTCATCTGCTCTGCTCCTGTCACCATATACTAGTAGTACATGTATGTGAATGTGTTTGAATAAGAATCATAACAGAGCAGACCATGTCCGAAGGTAAACATTATGCATTTGCTTTGCAAATGTTATTTCTCTAGTCTACATTTAGATTAAGTTGTCCATTTTTTACTTGCTTTATTCTAGGGACACAGTGAACCAGGAGGACCTGACCACATGTCCCTTTATATGGCTGGAACCAGGGGAGGATGTGAAAGACTCTGACATCATACACTCCACAAGGATAGGGATAGATTCATCTGGGGAGGAGTGGGCAAAAAAACCCTGGAGATTTTATGTCAAGGGGAACAGGAGTGTCAGTATACGGGACAAAAAAGCAGAGAAGGAAACAGAAAAACTGTAATGCTTGTACATGTATTGCTTACAAAAGTGTAGAAACACACCTGACAAAAACAATTACCTCCCTTTCAAACTTCCTTTCATGGCGATTTATAATGAAATGTATTCTTGCAGTACCAAAGAAAAATGCTAGATGGTGCACTTACACAATGTATCACCAAACTATAAGTACATGTACCATTCAATGGTCTAGGTTATTTTCCTTGACTACTTTGACAAAATGTCCTATTCAAGAGCTACTGAAGATTTCCAACTCAGTATTTTAGAGTTACAATCTTTATTTCTTGCTACAAATACACCACAACTACAAGTAATTCTATATCAAGCCTGCTCCATGTACATGTACTTTTACCACAAGAAAAAAAGGCAAAGAGCTTGCAATAGCGTCTTTATTTCACTGCTCAAGTCTTAGCCAACATTCACAAGTATAATGCACTTTTATACACCAAAATAGAAACTTGTTACATAACTTGCATTCACGTGACTGGTACCCTACACTGGCACCCTGACAAAGAATACTCCATCCTTCCATGGAAGTTTACATTGACATTCAGTAAGAAAACATGCTAATTACATGTCATGTTTACATATAGATATACAAGTGTCTCCTACCTAAATCTTACCTAAAAGTGTATACAAATATACATAATATTATTGTACCATATTTACAAAAAAGGGGTCGTTGGAAATGGCATACACAATCATAGCAAATTATACGTTTGACTTGATTCGGATACAAAATTTATATGTTTTGACTTGAAATTACAAAAAATGTCTTCTCAGGACCTTTTTTAAGTAGAAAATTGAACAAGAGGGGCAAGACAAAGTACAAATGTATATGCGATTGTTTAGACTAGAAAGTATAGGTTAGAATTCTTTGTCCTGCTGTTAAAATGAACCTGTTGTAGAGAAGTTTTAACTGTGATGCAGTAACTTTTACACATCAGTCAAATATCACAATGAAGGTAATAATTGATAGCTTATTTTTTGGCTATGTAGACATTCATTCACCCAAAGATAGCTGAAAAAGCCAGTTAACATATGCCAACAACAAGCATTGAACGACAATCTTAAAATTTTTGACAGTAATCAAAACTATTCTGCTTAGCTTGCTACTTGAATGTGGTAGAGAATGATGAGTTTTTACTGTAGTAGCCAGTTGTTTGTATAGTTATAAAACATTGTAGCCAGGCTTCCAGCAAAGGGCCATTCTGTAGAATTATGTACATCATGATGTCTGAAAATGACCACAATACATGGACACAAGTTGTTTGCTGTAAAAACAATTATACACTCCGTGAGATGTCTGCTGATATGTGGAGAAAAACATTAGAATTCCAAAACATGTCACATACAACAATCATTTAAGTATTTAAGCAAACGAAGTACCAAGTAGATTCAAGAAAGGCAAGTTCTAAAAGCCAACATCTTCAAAGAATAGCTTCACAAGAGACTATGAATTGTGCTTAAACCAACTTTTCTGCAACTATAAAACTGGCAACAGTTAAAGCTACACTGGCCTGGCTACTGCATGTTACAGTACACTGGAAGTACAAACTGGAATTAGGAATCAACACTCCACTGTAGTTGTCTGAAATACAAAAACAGCTGCCAAGATTTACCTTATTTATTATCAGTTAAATGTACTAATGGCTTCCTACATGACACTGTTCACTCAGTATTACTCTGAAGAAGAGCCATTTTGTTTGCATGATATTCTGTACATTTCTGTCATTGAAGTAGATGTTTAGGGTATCTAGAGCTGATTTACAAGAGCCATGCCTTCTTAAGTCAGTCTTGTATGTTTAAAGGGTTCGTCTTGCAGCAACTTTTTCCCTTTACGTTTCTTTTCTTCCTCAGTATACACTGCATGCTTTTATGTGACTTGTGGTGCCTTTACCACACATCTGTACAAAATGGAACACAAGTTTATTTTACATGGAAATTCAAATCTTCCCCATGATTCTTTATGCTTCTGCTTTTGGTATGTAACAATGGAACCAGGTTACGTACTAGGTCTTTTGTACAAGGATATAACTTTACATGTAGTGTTGTTGGATGCACTGTGCATTGAAACTGCATCATTTTTTTTGTGTGTGTGTTACATATACTAGAAACAAAGTCCAGACACAAAGAAGGTCAGCTGGGAGGATGAGTACATTTTTACGTGCCGGCATACTGGAATTATTTACCGCAAACAGCCCTTAAAATATACCGTTGACTACAAAGTACAAGCATTTGAGAAAAGCCTCAAGATGCTGATACAAAAAAAAGTAACGGGATAAATTCTCTGGAGGGTTTCATCTTGAATGATGAAGTCTACATTAATGAAACTTAGTGGATGGTATCAGAAATATCTGGCTATTCAAAGAATTCATCCAGTTTCTTGAATCATCTTGTATGTGATGTTCCACCTGAATGTCTAACCTTCATCGCTTTGAGTTGAACATATTAAGTAAATGACCACTGCTGTTGTAACTGCTAGGAGGGAAGTGTTGGACAATGTAATTGTGGTAGTGAGTTTTTTCATCAAAACTTTGACAGCTGCCTGGTCAGTCTTGCAAAGTACAATAAAGCTATACATCCAAGTACTCACTCCAATGTTTCCTGCTCCCAGCTTTAACTCTTCTTACTTTAAACCTCTGTGTTCTTCTAACCTTTATGTTTTACCTAGTCCTTCATATGCAATGTCAGGAGGAATTTGTGTCATGTTTCAGTTGCTCGGTGCTTCCTCAAAAAAAAAAAGCAAAAGCAGGCATCATTCATAGATACTCTATACAGAAGACAAATAAAACAACAGTCATCTATATACAATATGCTACACTGTCCATCCTGCTAGGAAATGCAGCAGCTTTTCCTAACGCTGGCATGTGAGGGGGAGTCAGGGCGGATGATTTTCGTCCTCTTGCTGGGGTAGGGGGAGGGCATGGGGTGGGCACACATACTGGTGTTGGAGAATGATCGAAGTCTGGAACGTAGAGATGTGGGCAGGGGAAGCTTCTCGATGTGGTGCGGGTGTGTGTACTGGACAATAACTCTGGAGCACAGGTCCTGGAGACTCAACACTGTGGACAGCAGAAAAGGGATATTATAAGACTGAAAGCTGCACTTACTAAAATATAACATTTTGTACCTAAAAAAATTATCAAAATACACCATGATTGTCCAGTTGCACATAATTTTTCTCAGAAATCAAAGCTTCAATTGATGGGAAAATGGACTAAAACTTTCTTAATGTTGATCAATTCTAAATGCTGATAGGCCCGATACATATAGTTCTAGAGGCTAGATTTTCAACAAACATTACTGTCTACATTTGGTGTTTTGATACTTCATACAATAACACTTAACCCTCTTCCTGTTAAAGTAGTCATTTGGCCACGGTGATTTGGCACCAAATCTGTATTGGTTATGGAGTTAGGCAGCAGGGAGATGGTTAATTCCAATGCCACGTACCTTTGTTACACTTGAGAAATCTGTCGATGCCGTGTCTCTTCAGGGCTATTCTGGACAGTTCTAGGAAGGACTCTGTGATGTTGAAGTCGCAGAGCGGGCTGACTTCAAAGAACGCCATGTCGTTCTTCATGGCGTACTGCTCGGCGGCCGGGATGCTCACCTGACGCTTGAACGCAAGATGGAGCCGGTTGCCCACGAGGATCTTGGGTACTCCTGGTGCATGCTGGGATAGAAACAAAGGCAGTGGCTCAATCAGAAATCTTGCTGCAGTAGTCAAGATAACCAAACTGCAATGTGTTAGAAAATTGTAATAAACAAAGTGTCTTGACATTGTAAGAGCTGAAAACATCCTGAGACTGCACTTCACGTAAAAAATGCTAGGTGGTCTAATACTACCAGTTAATAGACTGTATAGACTTTACCAATAAAGAAGGGACCAGGTTCTTGGCTACTGGTACATTCTTTAGGATCTGGATAACCATGTCAACAGGTGCTTCATCTGTTTTATGCAAAGTTAACACTTTGTACCCATCCATTACCATTAGCCAGATGTTGACAACAGACAGAGTAGCACACTTACCTCCTCTACTTCCTTCAACCATCTGTCAATGCCGTCAAATGACCATTTATTGGTGATGTCATACACCACCAGGATACCCTGGAACACAAGAAAAGGCATTGCATCGTGATTATTGGCTTGAAATTACCACATAAACATTGGCATTCTTGTGACTTTTCAAAGACTACAAAATACAGTAGAATTCAATGGAAGTAAAGCACTTGGTAATGTACGGCAATCACTGGTAATCTTTATGGTAATGGTAATGCATGTTGTGTGATTGTACGATGTTGGATTTGCTACAGGCAAAACAATGTATCATATCTGAAACATGAAATTTTAACACATTTGATACTTCATTTTCTTTGTCTATTATTTTTCCTTGTGGTATTTTTGCTGCAACTCAAAGCAAAACCCAACTCAGCTTGAACTGAAAGCTGCTTTATTTTAACCCCCACATAAAACTTCAATATACAATAAAAAAAGGTTACTGGCAGTTAAGTAGACTGAATAAAGCTCTACATCTTTATGGACAGGATTATTTTTACTGTACCTGCCAGCTGAAATAAATCAAGGAGTTTGCCTTCTCAGGCCTAATGCATTTTATAGTGCTTATATCCCAGTTCCCGGGTTGCTATGTAAATACGAGTGTACGCATAACACTGTGTTTACATTTATCTTTTGATCCACTTGCAATTCTGTGTAACACATTTGCTTGGCAGGCACATGGCTAACGCTCAAGTTACAATCATTTTGTACATCTGTATCCTGTATATGTTACTCAAACATTAGTGTTGTTTTACATTATCTTACAAGGAGACCCTTAGAACATTGGTGTGCTCCATGTATCAGGGGCCAATGCGATTTCAGAGCAGCAAAACTGGAAATATTTTGAATCTGGCAATCTTTATGATGTTGACACATACTACTTCCCATTAGCACATTTCAATCAGTATTTCATACTTAAGCGTATTTAAAACTGCAGAAACAAGCCCCAAGATGAGTCCTTTCTTATGGGTGGTACCCTAAAAATCAGCCTGGCTCCCTTCCAGTAACCATTTTCTGTCAGAATTTTGGGTCTTTTTGCTCCATGAGGGTCAATATACATTGGGATAGTGTGGTTTCAACTCAGTATGTAGATAAGTGACTAGAATATTGACGTTGAAAAATCAGGTTTCCAAGCCCTAAAACTGCATTATATGCCTTTAAGAACCCCTGAAATCCACCTCACACTTGAGGCTATCTGTCCTAGCTGCTCAAGAAAATCAATCCTCTCCAATGTTGTGCACCATTGCTCTCAAATATCATTGCCTGCAGGCGATCTTTACATGTAATAGCATGAAGTTCACGGACAAATTGCTTGCTTCTGCCAAGTGATATCAATTACACTTGACTCGCCTTGAGTGGATTTTTCCACCCTCCTTTGAAATTGCCAGCTGCCCTTGCCACTCTTCAGTCTACATGTATGTTTCAATCTCCTAAAAACACATGACATTGTGAACATTGCTGCTGATGCCTTTGGGCAGAAGGGCTCCTGACTGAATCTGCTCAAACATTGGAAGCATTCCTATTCATGTTGTGCATGGTGGGGAAAATTTGGAGATGCTTCACAGATCCACCAGATTGAATTTTGCTAGTAGTCATGTCAATGACTTTCTTCATGATGAGATCTCAAAGGACAACACACCCAAGGACATAATGTAACATTGTTGAGTCAAAAGCTTAGCTGATAGACTACAGGAAGCTACGAGGTTTGTCCCAGCTTCAAAGGTTAGCCAGAAAACATAAAATTTCTCTAGGGGAAAACCATTTCTGTTCTCCTACTGGCCAATTAATTTTCAGAAAGGTTCCCCTTACTTACTGACTATATATGCTCTTTAGACTGGGATTGTCTATCAAGCTAAAACAGTTTGGGTTTTTACATGTAGTTTAACTGATTGAAGTTGATGGGTGGTGATATGTTTTTGAACAGATTTTGTCGTTGATCAACTCTTGGACGTGTTCCAAATTGTGCTGTCGTGAGGGTGCATGTATTACTGGGGATGTTCAATGGCCATCATGGATTGACAATCACTGGGGATGCAATGGGAGGTCCATAATAGAGGTCAGGAGATGTCATCTGGCAGCACTCAGGAAGGGTGACTTTTCTATATACATTTTACAGTCTTAATCAATCCAGCAAAATCCAGTAATTTGTTAGGATGATTTGGCTGAGTATATAACAATATGAAACAAGATGTCAAAATATCCAATATCCGTGTCGGAAATTCATTGTTGACAGTAAAAACTAGCTCAAATAGTGCACTGTGAACCAAGTAACAGTGCACTGTGAACCATGTAACACCTTTAGTGCACCATGCACCAAGTAACATCTAGTGTCAGTGCACAGCAAACCAGTCAGAATTGCCCTGACGAAGATGATGTCGGCTCATGAAAAATAAATGGTTGTGATCCAAGAACTTTGCTACTCATTCGTTTACCAACCTGATGAAATTATTTACGGATCCAATATCCTAGTTTCTAGCCTTATCATTTTATGCAGCTAGAGCGATTCCACTTGACCATGAAAAAACTTCTTGCTACACTGCAGCTGGAAGTTAAGTGACTTGTGAGAATTATTCTGCTTCTATTCTTTGCGTGCCACAGCGGTAACTCATAAGTACAAGGCCATTACCCACAGAATCCACCCTGTAAGCAGTTTCCCCACAATGGAGCCGGCGGGAGTCTCTGATCCCACAACCATCAATCCTACACTTCCCCTGCTCGTAAAGCAGTCAGACTGTCTGTCATACTGCCCAGCCTTTAGATCCATACTTACAGGTGGCACTGGGCACTGTCGCAGCCATAAAACATGTGGCAACAGCACTGTATAACGGGCAGACTGCACCAGCATACTGGGTTTGCTACTTTCTTTTCAGGAATAATAGCAGTGCTTGAAATTTACTTCACAATGGTGCACATTGAATTAACCTTCAGCTGACAAATTTTACCTACACCAGTTACAATTTAGGAAGTATGGATCGCACTAACACTACTAACAGTTGTTCAAAGAACATTATTTCTTTTACACTTCATTCAAATGTAAGTGGTAACTGCCAATGCACAAATGAAAATTTACATCTACTTGTATAACCCAGTACATGGACCAGTACAGGTTAGGTGAAGGTAGACATCAGAAGTACCTGCACAGCTCCAATTTTGCGCCCTAAATAGATACATGTACATTTAGCAACATCTTACAGTGCAATTGGAACAATGGCTACATACAATCATTTATTTGAAATCAGATTTATCTTGTCTGTATAGTTCTAGTATCAAAGTCAGTACAAGGTTGTTCCTGTCCCTGGTGCTGAACTAATGCTGTTATTTCATATTCTGGACAAGTCATCTGCATGGTGGAAAAACAGGTACTTCTCATGCCCAAACAGTTTGTGACAAACCTAAACTTAACCACAATGCAACCTTTTGATGCCTAGGTTTTGGGCTGGCATCTAGATCAAGCAATTTTCTTTTAGAAAATGCACCATGGACTTATACTTGTGGTCCCTCTGAGGAGGCAAATATTGAAAAATATGCTGTCTTCACCAAGGTTTTGCAAGTTGTGTCTACTCGGTAATTATCATAACACTTTTGAGACTTATGGTTATGGTGACTCTGGGTGACTTCTAATGTCGCTAAGCCTATATCCCCGCTGCCAGGCCTGGGCTGTTTGTATGTTATCTGTCCTTGTACAGCTGCTATCCACGGTCAGTACTCCCAGCTTAGGCCTGCCAACACTCACGCACACAGACTACAAATGAGCCATCTGCCTGTCCTGCTGTGTAACACACCGGGAAAACAACTGCGCAGGACTCAATAGCAAGTCACGAAGGTCACCGAGACGCTGTCCAATTAAGCTGTCAGAGACGTTTCATCCGGGCAGCGGCGAATCTCGGTAACGCAGCCCTAAACCCTCCCGGCAGTTTCCTTCTTCCATTTGCTTAACCTTGACAACAAGGCAATTACAGAGCAACACCGCTCAAGTGTCATTCTACCTGTACGTGTAGGTTTTACGATGGCCATTATGAACACACGGGTGAACAGGTGGCTTAATGGAGGGTGTACTTCAGTGCGATGCGGCCCCCCAGAGTCATTACAATGTGGAATGGTACATGGGGGAGGGAAGGCGTGCCTCTGCAAGGATGGTAGTAATCCACATATACTGGTACCATGACAGTAATGAGGGGGTACAGATGTTATTGCAAATAAAGCTATCAAAAATGGTTGATGGTAGTATAAAACCTAACTGTGTTACCAACAGTTTGAGTATTGCTACTTCAAACACCAGCACAATAACTGGGTAAAAAAGATCTTATCTACTAAACTATTCATTATTCTGATCTCTAAGGAATAGACCATTTGGATAACATCCTCCTTTCATGCCTTTCTGTTCTTATCCTAAACATAACTATTTCCCTCTCACCTGTGCTCCTCTTGAGTAGGATCTGAAGATGGTGCAAAATCTGCCCTGGCCTGACGCATCCCTGAAACAACAAGTGTTTATTGTAAACAATTGTTTTTTTTTTCTCTCTGAACTAAAAATGTGATTTTCAATCAGCAAGATGTTGTACAGGCTAACTAAGTTCCCTACAAGTGATCTATATTTCTGTGTATTTCGTTTCTTAGAATATCCAAATAAATTCTTTGAATATTGAAACAAATGAATGTCTTTGTTTCCAAGTCTGTATATGCTATTACAGATTACATACAATTGCATACAGTACCCTGAAACTAACACACCTATAAGTATTGACAGTACTGTATCAAATGACAACATCAACTAAAGGAAGAATGTTTCTACACTTGCAGCTAAAGTAAACCTTAGGGAAGATTTATGTCTGTGAAATTGCAGTAAGCACAGCATGTATGCAAACAGATACACCTATCAACAAAAGGTAGATATACTCCATGGAGGATATAATCACAAACCCTGCCTCCATGGACAATGTTGTTACATACAAATGGACACACATGTTAACAAAAGGTAGATATACTCCGCAGAGAATATAATCATGAACCCTGCCTCTCTGGAGAATGTTATTTCATGGCATGACTTCCCGGCATGGCTCATTGTCCATGACCAGGATTAATTTGATTGATTTCCTCTTTAATGAGTGGTTATAGCACAGGCAGGCAAGGCCAAGGTGACCTTGACTTGTCCTTGGAGTGCCCCTGTGGGTTTGAAATACCAGTAGGCAGCAATACAGACTTGTACATTATACCTGATAATGTATCCATGTAAATACATATATATAGAAATATATACACTAGTGTTACAGTATGAACCTCAATTATGTAAACTACTAAAGTATACCTCTGATCAATTATCAAAGCCAATTTTTTTAAGTCAACGTAAATTTGATTACCTCTTAAATTTGCTTAAATTAACCTTGAGCCTGTTGAGGATGTCGTTTGGCACCAAATTTTTATTAGTAGTAGGGTTAGGTAACAGGGAGAGGGTTAAACATCACAGAAGATGAGTGTATCGGTCTTTCATGATTCAGAAGAGGCTCAAAATTGGATGGACCATTTTCTAGATTTATTCCACAACGAACGGCCGATAAGGAACTGTATATAGGAAATAGCCATGGATCCTACACTGCAGTACACATAAATTAGGGACGTTAAAATCGACTGGAAGCTACTATTGCAGGGCAGCAATTCAGGGGCACTTTTTGCGGATGTATTATTGATGATGTAAAGTGAGGGTATAATGGCAGCTATGGCAGGATGGCACATTGTTATTTTGTTGTTTCGTGATTTTGATTGCATCTTACTTGTTTCTATAATGAGGGCTTTTGAAATCAATACAGATATGTATATTTTTTTTTTCTCCTGGGCCAATTTTCACTCATGGATTCACATTTCAAACATTGAAGCTTCACTGAGTTCTTGCTTACAACAAGATTCTAGTAACCTACATGTACATCTAATTTTCATACAGTACTTGGTGCACATTTCTTATTAACACGAAAGATTTCTTTCTTACCAGAGCTGCAACTTGACTCTCTTCCCATCGAGAAGGATGGTTGTAGTTTTGTAGTCAATCCCTGCAAAGCAAAAAGTTGCATTTTAGTATAGAAAACACTAAAGCTTACAACCGTCAGTTGGGTAGTTTATCCGTTTATATAGAATTGCATACATAACTCAAGCAAAATGATTCCTCTGTGCACATTCTCCAAGATAGTAAAAGTTATAATCATTTTCTCAATGCAACAATCAAGTAAAAGAAAACGGGAGGTTATAAAGAATTGGCAATACCACCTTCCCACCTCAACCTCATTTATTTTACAAACCTAAAATGCTTGAGATTGTATGAGAAATCTTAACCCTAATCAAAAGCAACTTAAAATGCTTACTTAATTCATTTGTAAAATGTGCCTCCAATGAGAAATGTTATAATTGTGCACCAAATCCATTAAACCTATTGGGCTACAAAAACAATCCATTTACTGTGACAACAGGAGATAATCTCATTAGGCATGGTTCTACTTTAGCCCTGCTGTTCCCTAAACTTACTCCCTCCTAGCCTCCTGTGCAGGCTTTTCTAGCAGCCTGCGGTCATTTCAAAACGTGTAGTGGTTTCTTTTCAGGGGATATTGGCCGATACAGCTATGCCCTGATACAGCCCTCCCTCAAGGTTCAATTAGCTTTCCCAAAAGAAGCAGTCACACTCATAGAAAACAAAATGTGCGCCCCTAGAAAAGCCTGCAAAGGAGGCTAACTCCTTACCCTAGCAACAGGGGCAGGGGAGGTCATGTGTGGCTCTGTAACATACGAAAGACCAAAGGTACAATTTCAACAAGGCTTCATCGGGTCAGTTTTCACCGTTCAAAACCCATTTTCACCCTTCAAAACCCAATTTTCACCCTTCAAAACTCAAATTTTCATCGTTCAAAACTCAAATTTTCATCGTTCAAAACTTAATTTTTCACCCTTCAAAACTTAGTTTTCACCGTTCAAAACCCAATTTTCACCCTTCAAAACTTAATTTTTCATCGTTCAAAATTAATTTTCACCCTTCAAAACCCAATTTTCATCGTTCAAAACTTTTTTTCACTCTTCAAAACTCAAATTTTCATCGTTCAAAACTCAAATTTTCACCCTTCAAAACTCAAATTTTCACCCTTCAAAACCCAATTTTCATCGTTCAAAACTCAAATTTTCACCCTTCAAAACTCAAATTTTCATCGTTCAAAACTTTTTTTCACCCTTCAAACTCAAATTTTCATCGTTCATCGACTCGTCCCCAGGATACTATGGTTGGCTCTTCCCAGTATGCTTTGCGCGGAGCACGGTCTCTTTCCCAGGGCAGTCAAATACAAACACGAATACGCTGTTATTCGCTGCAGTCCCGCCGTGCCCAGAACGTAATTTATATTATACCGGACGCTGTGGAAGGAAAACATTTCCAACACGGTTCCAACCGCACCAAGGCACGATTTTCAACCGGCTGTTTTTGTAAGTTAGAATGGGGAGGGGGGCCGGGGGCGTTTCTAAGTACTTAGACTACGTTTCTAAGTACTTAGACTAAGTTAGAGTAGTTTTTTCGTGTTTATAAATTATGTTGTGGACAGAGTCCGACGGACTGTTGTTGGTTTGTTGTAACCCCAAAACTTACTGCTCCATTGGTTTTGGAACTACTTGTATTTGTTTTGAGTGGCGGACAGACGTATATTTTCCGACATAAATTCCCAACTATTTTCCACTGACACAGTTTCTCCAAATTGTTACATAACTGTTTGGCCCTGGGGAACTTTCGGTGGAGAGGCAGCCCCATTCACAGTTTGACCACAACAATTCAGACGAAAAAACCTAACCGTTACTAAACTTAGAGTAAAAGTAGAAACACTCCCCTCCACATTCTAATTATGCGCAAGGCAAAACATGTCATATCATATTCATAACAATGCAACAGACAGCATATAGGATGATACATTTGGGGAAGGTAGGATACCGGTAGTTCACAACAATTTGAGAAGTGAGAAAGAGCAGGGTGGAAATGAATAAGAAAAGCCAAGGAAAGGTGAGACAATCTGTGCACATTAATGAATGAATTACAATGAGCTCTATGCATAAGCAACAAAATGTGGGCTACGAAAAGTGTAAAAAGTTTGGGTCAGCAGAAGCTGCAACTTTAGAATGCAATGGGTAAGATTAGCTAGTGATCGCGCCAAACAGTTATGTAACAATTTGGAGAAACTGTGTCAGTGGAAAATAGTTGGGAATTTATGTCGGAAAATATACGTCTGTCCGCCACTCCAAAACCAATGGAGCAGTACGTTTTGGGGTTACAAGAAACCAACAACAGTCCGTCGGACTCTGTCCACAACATAATTTATAAACACGAAAAAACTACTCTAACTTAGTCTAAGTACTTAGAAACGTAGTCTAAGTACTTAGAAACGCCCCCGGCCTCCCTCCCCATTCTAACTTACAAAAACAGCCGGTTGAAAATCGTGCCTTGGTGCGGTTGGAACCGTGTTGGAAATGTTTTCCTTCCACAGCGTCCGGTATAATATAAAATTACGTTCTGGGCACGGCGGGACTGCAGCGAATAACAGCGTATTCGTGTTTGTATTTGACTGCCCTGGAAAAGAGACCGTGCTCCGCGCAAAGCATACTGGGAAGAGCCAACCATAGTATCCTGGGGACGAGTCGATGAACGATGAAAATTTGAGTTTTGAAGGGTGAAAAAAAGTTTTGAACGATGAAAATTTGAGTTTTGAAGGGTGAAAATTTGAGTTTTGAACGATGAAAATTGGGTTTTGAAGGGTGAAAATTTGAGTTTTGAAGGGTGAAAATTTGAGTTTTGAAGGGTGAAAATTTGAGTTTTGAAGGGTGAAAAAAAGTTTTGAACGATGAAAACTGGGTTTTGAAGGGTGAAAAATTGAGTTTTGAAGGGTTAAAAAATTAAATTTTGAACGATGAAAAATTAAGTTTTGAAGGGTGAAAATTGGGTTTTGAACGGTGAAAACTAGTTTTGAAGGGTGAAAAATTAAATTTTGAACGATGAAAAATTGGGTTTTGAAGGGTGGAAAAATTGAGTTTTGAAGGGTGAAAAATTAAATTTTGAACGATGAAAAATTAAGTTTTGAAGGGTGAAAATTGGGTTTTGAACGGTGAAAACTAGTTTTGAAGGGTGAAAAATTAAATTTTGAACGATGAAAATTTGAGTTTTGAAGGGTGAAAATTGGGTTTTGAAGGGTGAAAATTTGAGTTTTGAAGGGTGAAAAATTAAGTTTTGAACGATGAAAAATTGAGTTTTGAAGGGTGAAAATTGGGTTTTGAAGGGTAAAAATTTGAGTTTTGAAGGGTGAAAATTGGGTTTTGAAGGGTGAAAATGGGTTTTGAACGGTGAAAACTCACCCGATGAAGCCTTGTTGAAGTTGTACCTTTGGTCTTTCGTAGTAACAAGACTAACAACCCACACCCTGGCTCACTCACTCACCAAACAGTCAAGAACAACAAAGACTAGTGCTTCCCTAGAGCTCAGTCTGTCAATAATTTACACCAACAACACTTCAAGACTTGGAGGGAGCTGTTTTATTGCAAGGACTAGGAGGGAAAAAAGATTGTCTCAATACAATCCATTCCTTTCTCTCAATCCTGTTCACCCCAAAATACAAGTAAGAAACATACAAACATTATTTCTTGAGAAGTATGAAAATAGAAAAAAGTAATAACCAAAACCAATGCCTCTCCCATTTGGGGATCTTAATTCCTATACATGTGCAGTAGAAATGTCTGAAATTCCGACAAATTAATTTTTTCATGGTTCCACCTGGAATCAATGAATTCTCTCTGGGAGTTCTAAGAGTTTGGGAAGGGGCCAAGAGATAAAAGTTGTTCAGTGTGGCGCAGGCTGTGATCATGGTTCTGATGCATGTCCCAGGTTCTGACAGCTGTATACCAGGCAGCATACTTGGAATATATCTTTTTATCACAGAGAGACTGAAGTTTTCTCCAAAGGCTTAACTATGGACCACACAAGAACAATCCATAAGCACATGTCATGTATCCACGTACATGGGGGCCTGCATGCTCTTTCCGAAGAGCATAAACAGCCGCGTTAAATATAGAATACAACACGGGGTATTCCGTATCGCCCGAGGTATCGGCCCGACCGCGGGTCGGATCGCCCGACGGCCGCAGGCCGGAGGGCGATCCGACTCGCGGGAGGGCCGGGACCGAGGGCGATGCGGAATACACCGTGTTGGATTTTATTTATATCATACCCACCCAAGAAAACGCGCCTTTCAATGCAAGATGAGCCAAAAGTTGGTGCCACTGAACCCTAAACTGCAACAACATCAATTCCAACGTCCGGATTCTGTATTCGAATTTTCGAAAGGGGCACAAGCGGGTAGGGCGAAACGCGTTCGAATCGTTTTATGGAAGCCATGGAAGCGTTCGATAACGGGTTCCGGACCGGGTAC